GGCGGATACGGGGAGCTGCCAAGCCAGCCCTTCCCTGGCCCCTCGGCCCACGGGGTGGGGCGCGTGAGGCTCCGCCGGCCCCCCGGGGACCTGGGACGTGGCGCGGTAAGACGCACACGCGTGCTGGGGGGCCACGGGCTGCAGGCGCCGCGGATGGGGGCTTAGCCACGGGGGGTCGTGCGCATGCGTCAGCGAGTATGTGCGTCTACACGTGAACGTGCATCTGGGAGGGCGTGCGTGTGCATTTGTGCGTGTGTGCACGCATGAGCAAGTGCGTGTGTTCCTGTAGGCGTGTGGGCAGGCATTTGCTTGCCTATGGAAACGTGGGCATGTGCATTTGGGCGTGTGTGTGTGTGTGCTTGCCCTCAAAGCCGGGGAAAGGCAACCCTCTTCTCCCCCCCACAACCCCGCGCCCACCCCCACTCTCCCTTCGGCCAGCTAATTTCCGCTCCCCGGGGCTGGCGAGGAAGCTGGGCAGGGACTGGACTCATCCCGGCTGGGCCTGAGCTGTGGGTGCCAGGAGCGCGGCACGCACCCCTCTGCCGGAGCCCCCCCCGCGGCTTTCTCGGCGCTCCCGGCTGCAATGGAGCCTGCCCAGAGAGGGGCCCAGGCTGGTGCCCAGCCCAGCCGGCAACCTGCCCGTCAGCTTCCCGGCCCCTCCTGCCAGCCCCCTGGCTCTCGCCGGCTCCTGGGACCGGATGGAGCTGCTGAGCCCCTAACCCAGCTCCTGTCTTGCCCCTGCAGAGACGGGAACCTTGGGGAAGCTGAGACCTTCCTCCGCTCTCCGCACCCTCGATGCCGGCCGAGTGAGGGCCCCAACCCAGCCCCGCCAGCCATGGCCTCGCAGGACGGGCTGCAGTACCGGGCACTGTACGAGTACCAAAAGGCGCGGGATGAAGACCTAGCGCTGGCCCCCGGGGACCTGCTGACGGTGAGCGTGGCAGGGCTGCCCGAGGGGGACGAGCGGAGCCCCCAGGGCTGGCTCAACGGCCTCAACGAGCGCACCAAGGAGCGCGGAGACTTCCCAGGCACCTACGTGGAGTACGTGGGGCCCGTCAGGGCCATGGCCATCGCCCCCAAAGCCAGGCCCCGGCCCGTGCCACCTGCCCCACCCGGGGCGCCTGCCGGCCAGCTTCGAGGTGAGTACCTTGGGGTTCGGAGGGAAGCGCGTGCCAGCCTCATGCAGAGGAGAAGGGCACTCCTGTCCCCCACAACCTTGGCTCTTGAGCCCCTCTTTAACCCGGGGCAGGATGCAGCCACACGGCACCATGGGTGTGAGCAGGGAGTGGCGAGGCCTGGGGGTCTCACAGCAACCCACTGCCCCAAGTGCCAAAGCAACACCCCCGGCCTTTCGGGGTGCAGGTCGTTGTGGCTCTGTCCTGCCGTTCCCCGCAGCAGGAGGTGCACACCCAGTGCTCTCTCCCCAAAATGCTCTGCCTGCCCTTCCTTGCTCTGGTACTTGCAGGGGCTCCTCCATGCTTGCGGAGAGACCCAGCTGCGGTTGGGCGCCGGGCATTTGCAAGGACCCACTTCCAGGCTGGCAGGCGTCGAGAGCAGGGCTCTGGGTATTGGCAGAGATGGGCACGCAGAGAGCCCCTGGTTCACGCGAGCAGGGTCAGGCTGGGACAAAGGGCACCGTTCCCTTCCCAGCTGCCATCCAGGACCCGCCTGCCGCACTGGCCTGTCTCTGCCGGCGCCTGTAATATCAGTTCCCCCATGCTGGGGCACAGCTTGATGCTGTACTAGACACAGGACCTGTGTCCCTGTAACAGGATAGGGCTGCTGCAGCTTTCAGCACGGTTGCGGCTGGGTCCTGTCTACACTACTACCGTTCTCTGCAATCGCCGGGTGCGCAGAGCTTGAGTATTGAAGCCAGGAGCCTCCAGCGTTGGTGGGGAGAGAGGAGCAGGATGCAGCATTGCAATTTGTCCCTGGTTGGCTGATGCAAGATGGGAACTTCCCCCTGCTCACATGGCTGCTAAGTCTGCTGCACAGCATTGCCCTCTGATGCTGCTGGAATGGCTCAGCTGTGTGTCACTGGCCCTATACTGCCCCCAGGTCTCCCCTGAGCACGGGTGCTGAGAGCCTTTGCAGTGGGAGCTGGGGTGTGGAGAGATGGCACGCACCCAGCCGAAGCGTTGAGGGCAGGTGGCCTGGCACACCTATCCACCTGCTTCGTTAGGTGCCAAACGGGCCTCTCATGGGCACCTGGAAAAAGGGGAGACCCTTCTCCCCCTGCTGCCACTGATCATGAGTCAGGAGAACCGCTGACCGCTGGCTGGGGAGATGGAGGCAGCAGCTCATGGAGGATGTCAGGTCATTTGTTGCCTGCTTCCAAACCAGGCACAAGCCTCTGTCCTGTAGATGCAGCTGCACCTCTGTCACCTGCTCAGGCTCCGCCGCTGTTGAAGAAATGTGGGCAAAGAGGGGAAATGCTTTGCTTGAAAGGAGGCGAGTGGAGACTCCTCTCCAAGCCTCCTACGTGATTCTCGACCGGGGTGACTCTGGGGTGCTGGGAGAGCCTCTGAAGGGCGCCGTGGGGGCCCACGCAACCTAAGCATCGGTAGCAAGCACCTGTGTGTATTCACAAGAGCAACCCAGAGACTTTAAACAGGAATCCAGAGGGTCAAAACCTGCTGTGTCCTCCCGACCCAAGACTTGCTCTAGCCTTTCGCCGCAGCCAAGAGATGAGTGAAAGCAGAGCTGGCATTGTCCAAGGGGGGTCTGGGGTCTATGAAGGAGGGTCCTGGAGCCTGACAACATTGAGGCCCATTTGGTCTGGGATGCCTGGATGGGAAGCTTCCCTCGCTAGGAAATGAAGAGCAGCCTTGGTGGCGGCAGCGGTGGTGGCCATGAGGAAGCTCATCTCTGTCTGGAAGAGCCATGTGGGTCCAGGATGGGGCAGCTCGGGGAGCATTTGGGGTGCTGCCCTCCCCTGTTCCGGGCAGAGAGAGTTAGCAGTGCAAAGCCCTCGCTGTTAGGGGTCGGCAACCTGCAGCCTGGCTCCAGCGGCATCCTCCAGCCTGAAAAACCAGAGCACTGGGGGCTGGTACTGGGGCAGGGTCCGGGTCAGTCTTCCTCCAGCCGGAGCTGCTCTGATTTGACCTGCGGCTCCCAAATATTGCCAACCCCTGGGCAAGGGCTTTTGTCAGCATGACAGGTCATACTGGCTGGAAATCCCAGCACAGAGCAACCCAAATGATCAGGGGTCAGGGGGCACGACTGATGAGGACGGGCTGGCAGAGCTGCGGTGGATGGGTCTGGAGAAGAGGAGGCTGAGGAGGATTTGATAATGGCCTTCGACAACTTGGAAAGCGATTTACAGAGAGGACGGAGACGGGGTTTTCACTGTGGCTGCAGGGGACAGGACTAGGAGCAATGGGTTCAAGCTGCAGCAGGGGAAACTGAGGCTAGAGATTGGGAGGGACTTTCTGATTCTGAGGGGGGTCATGCACTGGACCAGGTACCTAGAGAGGTGGGGAGTCCCCATCCCGGGAAGTTTTCAAGAGCAGGTTGGACCGACCCATGGCTGGGATGGGTTAGTCAGGGCTGATCCTGCCTGGAGTGGTGGGCTGCACTAGCTGTGACCTCCTGAGGCCTCATCCAGCCTGAGTTTCCAAAGACCCTGTGAAGAGTTATGTAGAGCGTTGGTTATGGTTTTAAGGGGATGGCTTGCAGGCACCGCTGCCAGCAGCCCCAGGGGCCCGGTCCCCTCCCCACGGCCTGATGTGGAAAGCAAAGGGCAGGGAGTGCAGCAGCAGGACACATAGGGCAGGGGGACAGGCCTCGACTGGGACTCAACAGAGCCTGGGGCCATTTCTGGCTCTGCCAGTGACGTCCCCATGTGGCCTTGGTCATGTTACCTCACCTCTGTCGAGCTGCAGCCACACTGCTTCCTTCCTCCTGCCCAGCCCGGTCGTGGACACCTGGATGCATGCTTCTGGGGATGCCGGTCCCCATCAGGAGCTCACAAGATAAACGGGACTGATGGGATCCCACCTCAAGTGTGGACTCAGAGTCCGTGTCCTCCCTCCCAGCAGGGCTTCTGCTGAGTGCAAACGTGACGCTGAGGTCGCTGTCCCTCAGCCACAGCAGGGCATGGACACAGCCCCGACCCTTGGAAAGCACTCGGACAGCAGAGGCTGCCGGGCCCCACATCAGCCTCCGGGAGCTCAGCACTGTTGCTGTTTAAACAGGAGATAAGAGAAGGCCGGCAACGCCGGAGCAGCGGGTGTTTAACAGGCCTCACGGATAATCGGCTCTCTCCTGCTGATCGGGGTCGTCTTGCCACTGAGCTCGTCCCGCTGTCGCCGCTGGGGTTGCAAACTGTGGTTTGTACAGTGCCTGGCACGGTGCGGCCTCGTCTCCCCCAGGGAGCGGCGTGGAAACGTGGCAGCATCGCTGGCTCTGACGTGTGCCAGCCCGGCGGAGCCAGAAGGGCGCCGTCTCTCCCAGCCAGGTCCCGCGCCGCCTTGGGCCCGCAAACCCTCTGCACCCCTCGTCTCGGGGCCTGCGCAGTTGCCGCCGGCATCACCGGTGGCAGCGTGGTCCAGCGGGCTGCGGCCCGGTGGGGAGGCGGATGGATATGGCTACGGCTTTCTGCTCCCTGCCGGTCTGCGTGTGCTTGCTACTCCTCCCTGCCCTGGGCTCTTCTGCCTGATCTGCTGCTCTGCCCCTGCCCCATGTGCTGCTCTGCTTTCTGCTCCCTTTTCTCTCTCTCACGGGCAAAGCTCCATGTGCCCCCACCTACGCCCCGTCACCAAGACGGTTTGGTCGGAGGATGGAGCGGGCCCAACTGAGCCGCGGAGCTTCCCAGCGTGGCTGGGGGACACGGCTGCCGCTCGGACAGTGATCCTTTCTCCAAGCCCTTGCTGTTAAATAGGCCTCACGTGGGGCAAAGCCCAAGGTAGCAAAAGGCTCGTCCCTGGGGTGAAGCATGCACGAGCTCCTTCCCATCCGCTGGCCAGGTTCTTTGGGTAGATGTGATATTTTTTTTA